TTTGTATAAATCATTTTGAATATTTAAAGAACTTCTTTAAAATTGTTGTTATTGTTTTTTCATCAAATTTAAATCTATAACAATAAAAATAATATCAAGTAAATAAACGTTAAAAACATATTATTCGAGAAAACTAGATTGTTATAAACACAACTTTCATGTGTATATAGTTTATTTAAAAAATAATCAACGTAATATCTGAATAATCAACGTAATATCTGAATCTACACGCGAGAAACTTATAGTATTATTATAATAATAGGTACAATTTTAACTTTCGTTTTAAAAGGACACGGATTTATTACTCAAAACGAAGATTTTAGAGCCTAAAACTCAAGGAAAATTAATATTTAGACGAGCAATATGAATTATCTCTAAAATTTGAGATGCGCTACGTTTTATTTCACCAGTCTTTAGGACGCAGCACTCGAAGGTCAACCACTTCCGAGCGTCTCTACTGGCGCACACATCTGGTTGTTAAAAGTATGTATAAACGCATCTCAAGAGACTCAATTTCCTTTTTAAAAGTGCGTAAGTTGATATTTTTTTCCCTTCCCTTCGAAAGAACGCCACGTCGTAATTTTTATGCAATTCTCTATCAGAGTACCTTATTTATTGCAAATAAATTCTCACAAGCCGCTTTGAAAGAAACGTGCATCATCGTATTGAATATTACGGAAATTGCGTGTCATAAAAGTGAAAATATTTCAAGAACGAGAGAACCTCGCAGTCACTGCCGTCACCGTCCATTTATTAATTGTGAGAAAGTAACACAGACATAGTTCTTGAGCTCGGTCTTGAGTTCGACATTTACGCGAACATTGGATCGGTCTTTCTAATCTAAACATTTCTCGCGTGACTTTTTAACGTACAATAATTATTCACAGTTTCTGACACCCCACATTAAATCTCAATTTAATTGCTCTCTCGCTCTCCCTCTCTCATAATTTATAATTAAATAAAGACCGTGATAATATTCTACAGATACATCCTTTAGATAAACACAAAGAAAATGTAAATTGTAAAACAATTAGCGCTGAATCAGGGTTGCCACAAATTTGCAATCATAAAATCCCCTGATATTTCCCTGATTTACTGACAGAATTTGGAGATTTTTCCCTGACCCAGAACCATTCATACTTTGCAATGTTCCTCGATCTTCCCAATAATTGTAGATACACAAATCGAGGGTTTCATGTTCAGAAATCGACTTCCAAAAAAAAAAGTTGTCAAGAAAGATGATGGCAAAGCGTAAAGCTCGACGAGGTACAGCTAAAAGTCTTACAATTTGCCTGATTTCCCTGACTTGTGGCAACCCTGTGAATGTAATAATGTAAACATTCATATATTTAACGAATTTAAATGTCTGAATACTCGACGCTAATTCGAAGGGTTAAAGAAGATGAGTGGCAAAGATTATTTCAGCAATGTTGCAGTAACATTAAAAATTTTATTATTAAATGTCGCAGCGAAATAGTTGCAAGCTTCCATACTGCATGGATCACTTCACTATAATATGAGTACTCCGCACTTTAAATTTTATTTTCAAATAAAACTGAAGAAGGAGGCTGCACAATGCACGATTCCATCGAAAAGAAAATAATTTAATCAACGAAGCTCTCCTTGTCTGCGAAAGATTTATTATGTGATTCTGAAACAGCGGAGTAAGGTGCATGAACAAAATATTATTAATAATTTCTGCTTACTTCTGACGCACGATTTTTCTGTAGAGAGAGAGAGAGAAATAGAGATAGAGGAAAAAAAAAAGAGAGCTCGACTGTTCTCTCTTGCGTCATTCACGGAGAGGTCGAGTCGCGCAATCCCGCGACTAGCCGAGAGAGTCACTCTCGCTATTCGCGCACACACGTGTTCGTATATATTTCGATTTCTATATTTATACACATACCTTCGTGTCACTCCGTGGGACGTCCGGAGGTGATCACGTTCGCAGCACAAAAGGTCCGCGTGGCGAAGACGTGTCGTAGCGGAGCGGATCGGAGAGAGCAGCTGGCATTTGTCGGAAGAAAAGACAAACGAACGGGTTTCCTTCCCTCGCTGTCGCCGCTCGTCCGCCCGGTCGAACCGGGCGCGGACGCGTGCGCGTGCACGCACGCACGCACGCACGCACGCGGGCGCGATAATTCACAGGTTCAAATCACGGTCATTCCACTCGCGCGCGACCTTGTTCGAGAACCGTGTATAAAAGTCGTATGGCGACGCAACAGTGAGCGTACAGTTTTCGTCACCATTCCCGCGTTGCACGCCCCGCGCTTTTATGACCCCTCGATCCCCGCCCTTTCTCCACCCGCTCCCTTTCCTGTACTTGAACTCGACTCAGGAAAGCGGCGATCTCTCTCTCTCTGCAGAAGCGAGATAAACGCTTAGCTACGTATTTGCTACAACTTGCGATACTTCAACCTCTCGTCGTCTGCACTTATCTCGTATTTTGTATTCTATTTTGAGTTTCTGTTTAATTTTATTTTTGCTAATCTCTTTCGGTTTATAAATACATATATATGTATATATTGTTTTTCTTCCTTTGTAATTAATTTTTTAAACTGTGTGTCGTAAACTTTCTTTGTTCTTTACATTAACTTTTACTTCAATGTGTTTGTTCTTAGAAGGTACAGAGTCCTGGAACGCTGTACAATAAGGGAACGCTCCTTCCCCCTCTCTCTTTCTTTCAAATGAAATCACTCTCGAGCGATTCTGTTCGCTCGAACTTCTCTCGTTGAGATAAGAGATTCTTCACTCGAATTCAAAGAGATTCTTCTCTCGAATATCCCCTTCGCTCCTTTTCTTCCTTTCACGTCCCTTCTCACGGTACGGAATTCTTTATCGCGAAGCTCCTCAGAAATCCTCGCCGGCCAGCGTGATTGTGCTTATATACCATTCAACGACTGTAATTTAAAAATAATGCGACTCTCGCGCGTCGTAGGCGCGGATTGCACGACGCGTCGTTCGACGGAAACGCGATCGATCTGACTCGCGCGCTCGATCTCCGCGGCGGGAGAGACCTTTCTCGCTTCGATTCGCATTCGCCACGTTCACCTCGATAACAAAACCGGGTCGGGCGAGGGTGACTCACGCCAACCGGCGAGTCGCCTCTCGCGGTCGACGGACGCGACGAATTTTATTCTGTTCCTTTATGCCTCGCCTCGGCCCGACGATTCGCAGATCACGGCAGCGCGAATTGCGGCAGAGAAACACGGAGTGCCGGCCAATCGATGACAAAATTGATAATGTAATAAAGAGTTCCTCCGGACCCACCACGATTGGTAACGCGATATATGTTTCTCGGGGACACCAAGGAACTTCGGGGTGAAAGATTCCCCGTGGATTTTTGATCGTGGACAGTCCTTTTCTTTTCGCTTTCTCCTGATATTTTCTTTCCGCCGCGTTATTCAAAATACACGCGAATTTCCGAACGCGATGCACTCGCGAGACGCGCGCGAGAGATACTCTCCCCTTCGCCGGCGATTCGCTTCGAGAGACGCGCGTTTTCTTTCTCTCTCTCTCTCTCTCTCTCTCTCTCCCCTTTCGTTGTTTTTTCTCTCCCTCTTTCTTTACTCCGTACTCTTTCTCTCGCACACTTGTTTACTCTCCTTCCCTGTCGACTTGTTTCCCCCCCCCCTCTCCTTTTCCCTCCCTCTTTGTCCTCAAGTTTTTCTCCCCTGAGAGTCGTCTCTCTCTCTCTCTCTCTCTCTCTTTCGGTCCTCCCCTCCCTCCTCAAATTCAACTCTTTCTTCCTCGCTTGGTGTCTTCTCCTTTTTATTTTTTCTTTCCTTTTCCCGCTGTCGCAACGAGCGCGTGCCACGTAACAGCTCTATGGGGTTTTAAAGCGAGTACTTCACGGTGTCCGCGTAAGACACGCACTGAGGAAGAACGAGCTGCCGACGCGAGCAACGGACTGCAAGTCCGCGTTCGTCCGTTCACCAATTCAACCGCCGGCCGCCGATCCACGCACCCACACGCACGCACGCGCGCGAGGTGGCGGAAGGGGAGAAATAAAGAGAGAGAGAGAGAGAGAGAGACCGTAGGTCCGGTCTATCGCAGCGAAAGGGAGGACGGGAGTGCGGCGCGGCGCGCACGCGAGAGAGGAAGAGAGAAATGCATCCGAAGATGGTGAACGGCGATGGGGTGGGGCGAGAGGGAGAGAGGGTTGGAACGAGGGAAGCAGGTAAGCACAGGTAAGGCGAGCGCGCCAGGACGGACGCGAGGATCGAGACACGCGGAGGTTGCTCCGACGATATCGTTGACCCTCGTGTGACACTTTTACTGTCTTCGGAGTATCGATCGATGTTGAAGAATGCGATCACCGGTAGAATGTATTAGGTATCGATTAGAATTGTAAACAAAACGCGAGGGACGTCGTAAAGCGAGCTGCGGTGCGTCACGTTAATTATAATGAATTCGGCCACTTGAATTTTGTGTGCGTATATTAGATAATTAGTACGTTTTAAGAGCTGCTGTACACGAAATTTGCAAAGTTCAATGTAAAAGCAGCATATATATGAATACTTGGAACGATTCAACGTCCAATAATGACGTTGTTATATTTGGTAGAATATGTATGTATTATTTAATTGGGGTTTATTATACTATTTTTAGGCCACTGTATTTTCGGATACTTTGTATAAAGTAGCCTTTGTAACATTTTAATTATAATGTGTGTAAAAAATATTGATTTAATTTTTAAAGAATGCAGTTTTTTATTTATTTTTGTATATTTATTAGACTATGAAGTTTTATTTAACAAAGGTGAGTTAGTTTCTCCAAATCAAATTAAAAGAAGTATTAGTTAAAATTAGACCGCATTGACTATTAAAATCGATATGCATCAAGAAGACATGTCGACTAATTTACAATTAGTCGACTGAACGATAGACTCTTTGACATTCAAAATAAATTTTCTCGAAATTCTCTGAAATTTATTTATTACTTATAAGTGCTAATTTAGTTTTACTGATTTATTACAGGCGTCGATCGATGCGCGTTCCTTCCAAAATATCGATACCTGTTCGCCGAAAAAAGGGTGTTTGACTGATATGAGAGGCAGAAAAGATTGGTGGGTAGGAACGAGAGAAAAGCGAGAAAGGATAAATCACATCGATGTGAATAAATTCAGATTGCCCGTGTATTCTATTTCACACTGAATGGAAAAACGTAGATATAGGTATCTTTTGTCACGCACAATTCTATCGTCGTAACGTTGGAGATTGTATTCATGTGAATCAAATTTCGAATTTATTATACAGATTTTTCGATTCCGGATTTAAATAATTTGGGACTCGATTCGATACAAAGGTAAATGATTACCGAAATTTTAACTTGTTGAATAACTAATATCCGACAATTTAATTTGAATAATAACAATCGACAACAGAATTATAAAATTGATCGCATCGCATTACCTTATAGTCTCCATGTTATAAAAGCAAGGTAAAGAGAGAAGACGAAACATTACAAAGAGAGAGAATGAGTGAGTGAGAGAGAGAGAGAGAAACGGATGCGAAGGCGGACATGGAAGGCTCGAGATTGGTCGAGCCTCGGGTCCAGCCATGCCGTTTGCGGACAATCACTGGACCCTATCACAACTCAGGTGTAACCGCATAGCCATAAACTTACAGCCTACATGCGCGATTAAATATAAATAAGATTAATGAAACAGATACCTATTTGAAAAGAAACGATAGATTTTCAATAAAGACAAATTTGATCAGAAAAGCTAAACAAGTTTAGTAAAATCCTTTGATTAAAGAAATGATCATTTATAATAATACGCCAAAATACACTAAAATATTAACTTGATAGAACAATTTGATAAATGGAATTATATAGATATATTTACCACACGGAGAAAATTTTATATTTAAACAATTACAGTGTCCCTTTTACCTTTCGTTTATGTTTATATTTAAACCCTTGTAGAAAAGTACTACTGAGCACTAGGAGTATTTTGAGGCACTACTGTACTACAGCACTACTCAGCACTACTGTACTACACCAACGCAGTAGTACTTTTCTACAAAGGAAATTACTATAATGTGATAGAATGTGTGGACCATCGTGTAATTATAAGTTTAAATGCTCTATAATCATTTTTTTTAAATAATAATATAAACTATTTACACTTTTCCATAGTATTTAAATCACACCTTGTTCAATAAAAGTTAGTATTGTGTAAAGATAAAGAATATATAAATAACTTAGCAAATATTCTTTTTTTTGTTTGCGTACCATAGTACAAATTGTCTCTTTTCATTGCTTAAGCACTGGATTTAATAAAAATTATTTCATTTATGTGATAAAATTAGTATTACCATAGTAAAAAAGTTATGTCGGAATATTGTTGTGAGGGTCCATCCGAAAATACAAGACATAGTAAAATGTAATTTAAAATTGTATTAAAACTTATTATAAAATTTTCTCCGTGCAGTGGTGAAAAAAACGATGAGAAACGATTATCTTTGATTTTTGAACGATGTTATCGTTGTACAAAATATTATAAAAATATTTTTTTAAGTTTTTATTAATTTTATCAAAATTTTACATAGTCAATTGTGTAAGCTAAAACGTGTGATTTTTTTTGCACATTTTACATACATTTAATATATGAATATGTGTATATCTTATTATATATATATATTATAAAATTTTATTATTGTACAAGTTTTTATCATATGTATATCAAAACTGATACATTTGAAACGTATGTAACAATAAAATAAATTTTAACATCTTATTAAAGTGCACGTTTATCTTTCCTTGAAATCAATTCATCAAGTCTCCTTTCTAACAAGTCGGCATCTAACCGATGTTTGCACAAATACTGACCTTCTAAAAAGAGAACTGGTATGTCATACTTATACAATTGGAAATAGCGTTCATTTCCTCGTGCAAGAATGTCAACTTCTTCCAGCTGATAACGACCGGCGAAACGTAAACGCAGCTCGTTCTTTAAAATGTCGCAAAGCGGGCATGTGGTGAAAAAAACGATGAGAAACGATTATCTTTGATTTTTGAACGATGTTATCGTTGTACAAAATATTATAAAAATATTTTTTTAAGTTTTTATTAATTTTATCAAAATTTTACATAGTCAATTGTATAAGCTAAAACGTGATTTTTTTTGCACATTTTACATACATTTAATATATGAATATGTGTATATCTTATTATATATATATTATAAAATTTTATTATTGTACAAGTTTTTATCATATGTATATCAAAACTGATACATTTGAAACGTATGTAACAATAAAATAAATTTTAACATCTTATTAAAGTGCACGTTTATCTTTCCTTGAAATCAATTCATCAAGTCTCCTTTCTAACAAGTCGGCATCTAACCGATGTTTGCACAAATACTGACCTTCTAAAAAGAGAACTGGTATGTCATACTTATACAATTGGAAATAGCGTTCATTTCCTCGTGCAAGAATGTCAACTTCTTCCAGCTGATAACGACCGGCGAAACGTAAACGCAGCTCGTTCTTTAAAATGTCGCAAAGCGGGCATGGGCTTTTTGTGTACAATGTTAATTTTGGTGGAGAAGATATCTGATGGGACCTAAAAATCATATAATAGGCTTCTACCTTCGAGAGATTTCCTTTGCACGTTTCAATTCAATATAAAAGTCTAGAAAATTAATCAAGTTACGGATGTAAAAGAGTTTGTTTCTATATATTCATACAACAAAATATATAAAACGAGACATGACCAGTATAATACATGTATAATAAAAATATATCGTTAAAAAAATGTAAAAATGCTATACAATCATAATCTTATAAAATATAATAAGAAAAGCTGAAGCTTTTCAATTATAGTATTTAAAATTTACTTAATCGTGTAACTTACAGTGACACGATATAGTACTTCAACAACATACAGTTTAGTATAAAAATAACTGCTCTTTTTTTATATACAATTCATAATATCGGTATTAAAAATAGATTGCCTGGTTTGTGCAAATGGAAATGGCATCCGTGATGATCTGCGAACTTACAATTTCTCAATCAGGATTGATGACGCTCCACCGCCTCCGTTGCAAATTGATGCAACGCCTTTTTCTCCAGTTTTCAATGCATGCACCAAGTGTACTACGATACGTGCTCCTGACATTCTATAAGATTTATATTAATTTTGTAATACGCATTAAAGTGTACGGAATATAATAAAATGTATTCCAATAAACTCACCCTATAGGATGTCCAAGTGAAACGGCACCACCGTGAACATTTACCTTGGCAGGATCGATGTCGAGTAATTTCTGATTTGCCACAACCACCGTGCTGAATGCTTCATTGATTTCCCACAGAGCTATATCATTTTTATTAACTCCAGCATTTTGAAGCAGCTAAAGGCATGTGAACAAAAACTTTAGTTTATTTTTCTACACTCTAGAAAAACTAATTATATATCAGTAAAGAACTCACTGATGGCACTGCAAGAGCCGGTGCGATTGGAAAATCTATAGGATCCGTTGCCGCATCCTGAAAAGCGACAACCCTAGCCAAAGGCTTGAGATTCAATTTTTGAGCGACATCACTGGTCATTAAAATTAAAGCAGCAGCACCATCATTTAGCGTGGATGCATTTCCAGCCGTTACTGTACCATTCTCTTTCTACACATACAAATACAAATATGTATATATAAAAGAATTAGATATTAGACAAAAACTTATATAGATACAAATAAATCAGCAGAATACAACCTCACCTGGAAAACTGTGCTCAATTTGCTAAACTTCTCGAAGTTGACTCTTTTATATTCCTCATCTGCAGTAAAACTTACATCGGGTTTACCCTTTTTTTGAGGTACGTTAACAGATACAAGTTCATCCTTAAATACATTATTATCATAAGCTGCTGCACTGCGTTTGTAACTGCTGATGGCATACTCATCTTGTTGCTGACGAGTAATATTAAATTTTTTAGCTGTGTTTTCAGCACAGTTACCCATGTGACATTTATTATAAACATCAGTCAATCCATCAAACACAATTCCATCCTGTTAAATTTTTTTATGTTAATCACTAGTATTAATATAAATATAGATATTTTTATTTTTTAACGCACGACATAAATACATATAAAAATATATATAAAAACTAATAGGAAAAATAAAGGGATTCAACCTCCAATTTTACTCCACCATATGACGTTTCACCACGTGATAAATAATATGGCACATTAGACATAGATTCCATACCACCAGCTAAAACGATCTCTTGATGCCCACATTGCAGAGATTGAGAAGCCAACATGACACTTTTCATACCACTCGCACAAACCTTATTTACTGTTGTACATATTGTTGACGTTGGAAGACCTAATAACAAATATATTAAATTTTATTAATATGTTATAGAATACTTTTTTAGGCAACACAGCCGATACAAATGTTACTCAATCCTTCTTGTATTCAATGAATAACAAGGATAAAACAACAATTGTTTCTTTAAAAAATGCAGCCATAATAAACTTTGATACCTTATTTTGATATCATATTTTTTATGTATTTGTAAAAAATTTTTTTGTTACTATTATTGTAAAAATTTATGAAATATGGTTATCAATTATACAGGGTGTTTAGAATTTAAATGGCCAAACTTAGAGGGCGATAATACTTCAGTGCAAGAACGAAGTAACTGTTTTGTATTTTTTCTTAGTTAATTCCCTACATGCTTCCGAAGTTTGGTTGTTTCAATTCCAAACACCCTGTATAGATATAAATATAAAACAAATGAATGCATTTTCAATACCTGCAAATAATGCAGCCTGTCTTGCTGGCGCTTGACCCAAAAAAGCTTGACAAACATTGCCCATATATATCTCTTTAACTTGTTCTTTGACAATACCAGCTCTTTCAATAGCTGCCTAAAAAAATATATTATTGAATTACTAATCATTTAAAATTAATTTTAAATATTAATTATATGTTTCTGTGTCGAATTCTTACTTGTAGAGCTAGTGCACCAAGCTTAGTAGCTGACATGTTTGCTAGAGATCCAAGGAATGAACCCATTGGGGTACGCACAGCACTAACTATCACAACATCATTTAATTTGATCTTTGAACTATACAAACGTTTGCTTATAAAATTCATCTGTAAAAAAACATAATTTTTTAAATAAACTTAAGAAAATATATCTTATTAAACTATAAAAAAACATGTACTAAATTATGTAAATCATATTTGATTAATAAATAACAGTCAAGTGTACGTGATATATGACTGCAAAGTAAATTACATATGCAAAAGTAACACCATATATATTTTGTACTTTTTAAAACAATCAAAATGTATTAAAAGAAATTTTAATTAATCTCGTTACTTACTTTAACTAATCTCGTTACAGTCGCCATAATAAACAATATATCTTTTATTAAAAATAGAAATATCTTAATGTCCAGTCGTTCCGAGACCACTATCAATATAAATCAGTGCAAAATGGTTTCTTGGTTAAGTGCATTGGATGCATTCCATTCATTCACCTTTGCCCTCCCCTTATGACGCTTCTATATTTGTTGGTAAGAGAAAGATTGCATATTTATTTTTCTATTTTTTTGCTTTTCAATAAAAATATTTAATATTGTCAATATAAAGGTATTTTAATATTGTTTTCATGTCACCGACGAGATATTAGGTCTGTTTTTTTAACTTTTGCACAGTTCCTGTGCACCTATGCACGGTTCATCATTCTTCCTTTTCCCTCCACGTTGGAAAGAAAAAAAGAGAAGCAGGAACTTTAAAAGAATAGTTCTACCAGAGAGAAGCCTGAGAGCGGCCATGCCCGGGATTTAGCTGTTACTTTATTTTGAAACGCCACTTATGTCCACAAACCGTGGACTTCGAACTATGTAGCCAATGTCCAAGATCGTGTCGGTAATGTCAAAGATTTATGGTTCGAATCTTCCCTACGTCCATGATTTAAAAAAAAAAAGCCTCTGAGGTAGAAAAATTGAAACTAAAAGGGTCAAGTGACCAATAGTGGGGATATTCAAATCTATACGCGCATAACAATATGAATATAACCGGTTATAATAGTAAGTTCCTGAGCGATGTGTTAACTAATGTTATTAACATTATTTAAGTTTGCATTATTTAAGATAGAGAAATATACCGTTTCTCAATCTACAATAATGCATTCTTAAATAATGTTAATAACATTAGTTAACACAAAGCTCAGAAACTCTCCTAACACAATTTGTCTAATATTATTAAAAATTCTTTTATTTTTAATAATATTTATATCATAAATATATATTTTTTTGTACATTTTTCAAATATTACTATAAAAGTTACAAATAGTTTTCGCCAATTTCATTTTATTTTTTTAATACTAAAAATATAATGCAACACATTTTCCCGTCCCACTTTACAGACTGCGGACTGTCGGATATACAAATATTTAATACCCGGTGTGGTTAAAAAATGTGATGCATAGCATTTTCATGCTCCACAGCATCATACACACAACCAATCGCACTTAAGAATATACTATAATATTTACAATATGCATTAATAATATGTATAAAAAAGTATACGCATACAATTTACAACATAAATCTATACAAGTATGAAAAATTGAGCAAAATACAATATATACCGTACATATATCATAATAAAATATTACCATATATACACAATTAAAACATTTTCGAAAAGAGGTTATTAACAAAGCAAAACGAGAGGAGCAATTGAGGAATAAATACTAATAAAACAAGGTGGGAAGAATCAATTAAAAACACCAAAACAGTTGTAATACACCCTCTTGGATTTCTATTATTTGGTCGCCTCTTCCATTTCCGAGATTCGTCCAATAACTACTACTGATACAACTTGAACAATCTTCGACTTTACCCCTACGACACATTCCACGTAGCGGATACCTCTTTTAGAAAAAATCGTTTTAATGTTCCAGAAGTCATTTTATGTCTCGATTGCAGCTTCTCCACATGGTACGTGTGATAGACGGTGCAGATTGAGCCAAGTAGAGACTGCATGTGCAAACGA